ATAGTTTTCTTTCGTGATTCAGTTTATAGAATTTATTCTCGAACGCCTGCATGTCACTTATAATAATAACTTTAAAGTTTGAACAGAAGAAAAGCAACCCTTGTCGAGTTTCTTGCCGGTTCTTTTCGGTACATAGTCTCCCGCCATATTTACGAATTGATGTCATAGAGTTTATATATACAGCCTAGACTGAATAAAAGATTTTGATTTAATTGGTTTGGTTTAAATCGTTATAGAACAGAGCGAAGGCTATTAATTAATTAATTAATTATAGGTATGTACCAACCTATGTCTTATAGACTTTGAAACTTGTATTTATTATTGTTCAATATATGTATTATTTTGGTAATGACATGATTTATGTAAATGTCATTATTTATGATAAAAAGCTGGTAAGTTTTTTTCGCTTGTTCTTCTTGTCAGCTAAAAGACGTCCTGAACAAGTGGTAGGGGAAAGAATATTTTTGGACGATTCAAAAGTGCTTGTAACAAGCTTACTTGAATAAAAACATTTTCATTTCATTTCATTTCAACCTGCAGTACCCATACTTTAATGATAGTTGAGATTAAGAAGCTGATGAAAAAAGAAATAAATGGTGATGGCGTAAAATGATGGCGCCCGCGTATATTGTAGTCTATATGTCACCCTTGCGTATGATGAAGCTTACCGCAGATAATTTTCTTTAGTTAGTACTTTCGGACTATTCAATGCAAACAAACAAAGTAGGCAATACTTATAATATTAGTATAGATTATATTTCGTTTGTTTTCATCTATTGAAAAACATAGTAGTTACATAGTAGTATTATTTAAAATTAACTAATTCAGTCATTTTTTTCGTTCCATAAAACTGACCCAATGTAATTATTTATATTAGTGTTTAATTTTCAATTAGCTATCTTTATTCTTTGCATGTGTGTTGGACTTAATTTATATTTAGTCTATGTTAAAGTGTATTAATTAATAAATAAATGTCCTTAGTATTAATAGGTAATTTCATGTATAATCGTTTAGCTATTCCTACAACACGTTTATACGACTCAAATGCATATAAATATAAGTAATATGTAGGTAATTTAAACTGAACTGCATAAACAATCTATCATTAGTAGTCGTACGCAATAATTGGCACGCTCATTAGCACTGAAGGGATGCACCCCACAAACAAACATACAAACGGACTAGCACTAATTGGCATGACGAATCACGGGAATCTAATCTTAGATAATACTATAAACGAATTTGGCGGGAGATTTACTGAATTAAGTTGAAAATGTTATTAGGTTGAATAGACAATTATTTAACCGACTAAAAAAATATTTATTTATAAGAGACTTCAAAAGATTTCACTGAGGTAATAAAACCTGTCCGTATGTGTTGTTATGTTAGAATAGGAACTGAAAAAATTATATTAACAGTTATGTCTCCGTTATTAATCTCTAGACGACCTGGTGAACTTTGTATAATTTTTCACTGTTTAAACCTATCCTGTACGCGTAGCATGACGAACTCGAGAAGGTTTTGTCTACACCCAAATGTCACTTTTCTCGGGTGCGCCCATACGATATCTCACTCTTGACCCGAGAAAGTGACATTTGAGTGTAGACATAGCGTTTCTCGAGTTTGTCATGCAACGCGTGCTGGACTACGACACACATTTCAATACCAAAACCAGCTATATCAGGCCAGCTGTTCTCAAGTTTTTGTGAGACAAACGATAGCTATTGATTTGTGTATAATATGTTTATATTACGCTCATTTAGCGAAAAAATAGTTCACAACAAAACAAAAATACAATTTTGCGATAGCAAAGAAAAAATAAGCTCCCAATCGTTTGAAATCAATCTGTTGATAATCAAAAAGGCAGCATAGAGGCAGCATACCGTAGCGCTCGTTTGCAATAGATAATTGGTATTTATCTATGGTCATTAATTCTTCAAATAAAGTGGTACCATAGCTACCCACTCTTTTCAAATTGCCTAATTAAGTAGGGCGGTAGACGCAAGCAATAATAATACTTATAGCTTGTTAAAAGAGATTATAGTTGTGTAAGCGTGTCTATAAAATAATGGAATATTTTGAAGGCTCCGTTTAAAAAGTTATTTTTATAATTTACAGTGTTATTTTGTTGTTGTTTATTATGATGGAGTACCTATTGAAGAAAAGCTTTTGGTTATTGGAAAATTTTATAGTTATAATGAAAGTAAGATTTACTAATAGTTGTAACAGAGGTGGGATTTACTTTTGTTTATTACCTATTTATGTTACTAGATACAAAAAAATGTTTGGGTTTAGGTAATTAATTGATACACAGTTTATTTTTATATTAAAAATGTGGAAAAGTTAACTTCTAATTTCAACTTTTACTATAGTTAGAAGAAGCAAGAGTTGTCAACCAAATAATAAATAATTTTAAAATTTGTAATATAATGAATGTTACATACATATGTGTATATTAATCATACGGTCAGTTGCATAAATTTCCATTGAGATTTAACGCGTCCTTAAACACTAATGAATGTCAATTTTGTATGGGTAATGTCGCTTTAAACTAATGACAATTTTAATGGACGTTTGTGCTTCTGTCTGATAGCGTGATATATATTATGGATGATTAACGCAACTTTAAAGTGAAGTGCGTAGTGTTGCCTTTTTGTGGTATTGCCTGTATCATAAGAGGAATACGAGTGTGGTTATATCTGAAAAACGAGCGGAACGAAAAAGAAGGTTTATTGATAACCCCCTTGTAGTTTATTAAAAATATTTATTTTTGTTAGTTCTTTTCGTGACTTATTTTTTGTGACTCTATGTATAGGTATATACGTTGCCTAGTTTTAATATGACCCTTAATAATATTTTTGTCTGCAAAAAAAAAACGGCATGAGTAATGCTGGGCTTAGATTTTTAATCATCGGTTAGTCTTTTAAGCATACATAAGTAGGTATGACATAGATGTGAAATATTTGCACATGTTTTTGGGAAAAGGAAAAGTAGAAAAAAATCAAAAATGATTTAGGAAATAACGTTGGTAATCTAAGTGTTTTTTAAACGGGATTTATTAAAATCTATGGAGAATAATTTCTGTTGTGTCAGCAATATGTAATGATAACTGTAACTTCATATAAAAAACTACAAAAGTACTTTTTCTAGACTTGTTTTCCGTACCGTCGAAAAACTAATTTAGAGCAAAGGGCGTGACACATACAGCCACGCCTTGGGGTGATTCTAGAGTTGCGCGTCCCTTAATGCGCGATATGTAACATGTTAGTCAATAATGACTTTTATTATTTTTATGATTAAAATTTAGTTGTGGCATAAAGTACCTATGTAACTACAGTTTTAGCTCTAGTGATTCCCGCAATAAATACCATCCGAAAATCGCATGTATTTATATAATTTGAGAATGTTTAATAATAAAATATTTATTACACAATAACATCCCATAGTGTACATTGCTCAGTAGCTAAAACACTAATTTTTGATTTATCTGAAGCAACGGAGATACAATAATACCTTTATTGTCTACATTAAGTCGACCGGGAATCTAATCAAAGTTGAATCAAGGTCGATAAACCAGTGACAGCCAATGACCAATGAAAATGAGACACAGTAATCGTCTGCACTTCTCACGCAGGCCCTGTGGACCAATATAAAGGAGCTGTTAAATAAAAAATATTTTTCAACGACCGATATATTTACACCCCATAACATTTGTGCCGTGTCATCGTCCCATAGGGGGCATTGTGAAAATTTTTTCACACAAAAGCAAGATTTATAATGAATACGGGAATATTAGAAGGGCGGGATAGTGGCACGACACTATTCATTTCATACAGCAAATTGTCCTTTTATTGATATCGCCCATGGTATAAACAATATTAGATGTTTACCTATTTTTTTAACGTTTTGATTTGACGCTAAGGAATTTGCTTCTTTAGGCCTAAATGTATTAAGTTGAAAAATCGAGTTATTTTGTATGTTTATTTCGATACTATTTTTTACTATTAGTTATTAATATTATATTATTATAACTTATTTATTACTCGATGACAAAATATTTTACCGACAAATAATAATATTCGCCAGAAAGTTCGCAATTAATGTTTCTTTATTGCGGTTTAAGTATCTTTTTTGTATTGAGTCTATTGTAACAGTAATTGGGTCATATTTTAATACTAAGTATAAGCTGTAAAAATGAAATAAATGAAATATTTATCTACAATTCAAATTAAACAAAATTTGTGTAATGCAGCAAAAGCATACATAATAATTAATTTTCCTTGAACTATCAAAAAGTTATTTATGTTGCTACTTTGAAAACAGATGTTAAAAGTTTCACTTTAATGTTTAGGTATATGTTTATTCAAAATACCTTTAACTTACGTTTTAATGCACTTTTTACGAGGTAATAGTTAAATAAAAATGACGCCTAGGTGTAAATGTATTTTAATTTGACGGAAATTGTTGTTAGACAAAATGTTAATAAATTGTTCTCAAATTAATTCCCTAAAATAAAACTAATTATCCGCAAAGTGTATAAAAATTGATAATTTCTAATGTGATTGAAGTTAATCGTTGATATGATTTGATAAGTTTTCTTGTTATCGAATTATTGGCATTGTAGATAGATAGGCCTATCATAGTATGCTACAGACCTAGAAAGAAGACTGAAATAATCTAAAAATAGTTTTGTTATGTAAAAAAAATAGTATTTTCCCGTATTTTGTTATTCTGTCACTTTTTATATTAAAACTTTTTGTGTTATATTGTAAAAAAAAAACAACCGAGGCAAACGCGATGTGGGTATACGGAAATATTCTTGACTTCCTCAAAACTTTTTGCGATCGTCTACATTTACCTATATTGACAATAAATTATAATTTGTCAGTTTATCTGTATTAGTTTTACTTTTGACATGTCAAGTGAGTAGGTATTTATACTGACTTCCAGCATAGCATATAGTTTATCGACATTATATACAGATTACAAAAAGAACTTACCTTTAAATGCCAAAATCCAAAGTTCCGTGCGGCAAGAAGCACAGAGTGGAAAACTTTCCGTAATATAATTAACACAATATATCTATTGAAACGTTAATTTATGTCGACGATCAATCACATAACACGTACACGACACGAATGCGATGTTCTTTGCCGTAAATTATTATCTTATCGAGCGACACTAATCGGCTATCAATTCTTTAATTTACGTGTCCCTCGGTGGAGATTCAAAAAAAGAATTGCAAATGAAAACTTTTCCTCGATGATTAATAAAAAAAAAAAATTCGTTGTCAAAACTTAGACCGTTTTCGAAAATGGAACGTAAATACACAACACACAAGTCAATGAACGTAATTTGGTACCGTGTTCGAAAGTTCTTTTGTTGGTAGGGCTATATGCTAGCGCAACGTACGCGCTCGACGCTAAGCCCAGACTGCCGCATTTGGTTGCCCCTCTCCGCTCACGCCCCACCCCTCGAGCGACACATTTTTTTCACCAACAAAAAAAAAGGGAAAATATCACTCCCTGTTTATCTATTTGGCGATACCTGACTAAATTAGTAGTCTTTGTTGCTTGTGGGTGGAACAAATGCGTGCATAGGTGGTCCGTGATGCGTCCTACTGCGAATATTTGCAGTCTTTGTTTCTTGGTGTAAGGTTGCGTGAAACACGTGTTATGCAGCCTTAATGAGATCATATCAATTACTTAGAAAGTTAAACGATTGAATATAAGATTATTCATTCAAGTTAAATTTAATATGAGAATTGATTGCTTTCTCTTTCTATTGTGTTATCATAAATTGATAATGATGACTGATTTCTTGCACGGTTATTAATATTGTTTAATAGAAGATTATAACTTGGAAAATTGTTTTTTACTACATCAAATTTTACGATGAATATATATTCAGACTATTATAATAAAATAAAATGTGAATTTATGGTTTGATATATGATACCTATATAAAATATTTATGTAGGTATCTATTGTTGCGGTAAATAAAGAAAGATATTTCACTTCTACATTTCAAGAAATTGTAGATGCTCAATTCATTCAGAAAACTGGAGTTCCAATAGTAAACAAATTAAAATATTATTTATATTTTTTTTTCTTATTGATATATTGATTCTTTAAATAGCAAAATGTAGAAAAAAATGGTTTTATGTGAACATTTTTCAAACATGGTGATTGCAAATTTTAGATAAGTACAATAAGCGAGTCCTTTAATCAGTCGGTGATGTTTTCATTTTTTATTTATACTAAACAAGTTAAAAAATACAATAAAATCTACAATATTCATAAATATTTTCTCAATTGTTTCAATTTTGCGTTATCTCAATACTTTACCAAAAATAATACAAAAACTTATGACAAACTGCCAACGCAATTAGAATTGAATATAAATTTTTATTTAGGCGATAAAATATAGACCAGTAATTACAACCCGTAATAGAGTTTTTTACTGCGTGTGCCTAGTATAGGAAGAAAAAAAATTAAAAAAGGAAGGAAAGATTCTAAATTTAAATCTTTGCAAATTTTTTAATCCCCCGTCCCACAGACTACGGTGACAATGTCATAGAAAAGCATTCATTTTTCTCAAACAAAAGACGTCTATTGTTTCTCAAAACAAAGTAACAGCTTAAAACTTATTGAATGATTTCAAAATAGATAATATTGTTGATGATTGAGACCCATAAATCCCTTTTTTTTATTGAAGAAAGTGACGGAAAAATGTGTAAAAAGATAGTGGTGTCATTAAAAGAAACGGGGGCTCATTTCTTTTGTTACTGGATTAAAACAGGTAGCTTACCTACCGATATTTATGGTCTCGAGTTGACGTGATTACATTTCCATTATTTTTAAAGTATGCTGTTTTAAAATTGTATTACCAGTAAGTATTAAATGGGCACTAACTGATCACTACATAGTATAAAACAAAGTCGCTTTCTCTATCCCTAAATCTCTATGTATGCTTTAATATTTAAAACTACGCAATGGATTTTGCTGTCATTTTTTTTCATAGATAGGGTGATTCAAAAGGAAGGTTTTTATGTGTAATACAAGACCACGCGGGCGAAGCCGCTGGTGGAAAGCTAGTTCTCAATAACTTAATTTTTTTATGTTTTACGAGTCAAAAAGTCCTACTTTTATGAAACTATTATTAACTGATTATTATAAAGACTATTCGTATAATCAAAAAAGTGCAAGTACACTTTGAGACGTTCTTATTTCAAAATTCATAAACCAGTATTAGTGTTTATAAAAAACATATAAAATGCTATTACGTATGCTAAGTTCTAATCTTCTACTACAAATTTAATACGAGACTTGTTAGAAAGAAAGAAATATCTAGTATTCATCAAAGCTTTTAATAGGTTTTCGATTTCTTATAAATCGCTCTCTACTCGCTCTAAGTGATCGAGTACTCCTAATATCTTCTGGTAGAAAATTCCATAAATAAGTAATTTTCCATAGATAAGGAACAGGAGAGCATACATATTAGCGTGCGAAGGAACATCCTGAGTGAGGTTGAGTTAGCATGGTAGAGGAGACAGATTAAAAAGAGCTTATAAAGAAACGTTTGGGATAAAATAAAGGCCATAAAATGTATAGAATTTTAAATATAAGCGACATTTTTTTTTGTAAAAATAGATACATAGGTAGAATATATTATAAATTTGGAATCTGCAAACGTCTCTGATTCAAAAATATGATTCGTGGCTGAGAGGCTCGCTCGCTGCTTTCAAGGTGTCGCAATATCTATTGTATCGAGTGTGATTCTATCCTTGACTCTGGTCTAGATGTCGCCGAATCAATGTTGTCTATAAAGTAGGGGAAGTCCGGGAGACTTGAACCTCTTTTTATTATTAGTATTATGGCAGAAAAATCATCACCACAGGTATAATTAACCACTGATGTCTTCAACAAGAACAGTGGTTCAACTCTAACCTATACATCACTTCGACATAAAATTTTCATTGCAGAAAAGATATTCAATTACTGTTAAAAAAAAATCTTTTTAAATCAGCAAACATGATAAAAATAATACACAATACTTACATCGATAAACATGGCCAGTATCTCAAAACTACTAATTATTTAAAATTTCTTTTTTGTAGTGACCAAAACACTTTTCGCAACTTAAAAGCTAAACAAACCAGGCATTTTGTTCAATAGTGACACATACATTATTGGTCTTCCATACATGATCTACGACTGTGTTAATGTTTCATTAGCTTGCAATTTACGTTGAATTTTGAGTAGTGGTTTAACTCTCCCATCTGGGCAAGTCTCTGGACTCCCCTTAATCGCACATCTATCAGAATGGAAAGCGTCAAAAAGCGTCAGATTTGTATTCTTATTATTTTGCTGTGCATGCTGTGTGTCTGTGGAATCCTCTTCCAGAGGGCATCAAGAGGGCTCGATCATTAGGATCCTTCAGCGATGATGTTAAATATTATTTTCTTTCCACATATTAAAACTATTTTCATATTGCTCTTTCACTATACAACTGTTCCATTAATTTCATATGTATACATTATTTTTATTTATTAATTATAATATACTAACGATATTTATTTATTTAAATATTGCACCCACTCCCCATAGTATCTTTATTCGTCATCCATTTTCACCATAACCCCTGGAAGAAATTGCTGTTTAGCAAGAAGGCCGCCATTTGTTTACTCAATCTTTTAAATAGCTCCTGTAAACAATGTATCATCTTGAGTGCAATAAAGTATTTTTATTATTATTATTTAATTTTTCATAGTAGAACAACGGTTGTATCAGTAATTTGACAATATTATATGTGTGTTAATCAGTCATCATCGTTATCATCAGCCCTTTAACGTCCCCATTGCAGGGGCTCAGGCCTTCCTTATTGATGGTTAAGTAGGATGGGCCATGACCCTCCACGCTGGCCCAATGCGGATTGGAGGGTAATTGTTAATCAGTAACAGACCCATTTTATTTCACACATGTAAACGCCGCATCGCCAGAATCCAATGTCACGTGCCACTCGTTTAAGGTGTACAGAAAATTCGGTTCACCTCCTTCAGCTTGGACAAATATGCGAGCACAATTATATTATAGGCCTTTATACTTTAAATTTAGATTTAATCTATACTAATATTATTAAAGCTGAAGAGTTTGTTTGTTTGTTTGTTTACACGCGCTAATCTCAGGAACTACTGGTTTGAATTGAAAAATTCTTTTTGTGTTGAATAGACCATTTATCGAGGAAGGCTTTAGGCTATATAACATCACGCTGCAACTATTAGGAGCGAAGAAATAATGGAAAACGCGGACGAAGTCGCTGGCGGCCACTATAATGTAATAAAAAACTACCTGCGTGAGAATACTTGAAGTCTTTAAATGAAGAAGAGGGAAGGACGTGGTTATGTCATTTAATGCTGTTAATAGCTGATAATGTTATACTCATTCTTCTTAACCATCAAAAGACGCCATGAATGCAGGCAAAAAGGACGATTCTAAAGTGTTATCAATTATCTTATCTAAATAAATAATATATTACGATTACTTAAAGTATTAACAATTCTATGACGGGTGCGATCCTTAGGCAAATGAATAAAAAGCTGACTAAGCTCGAGAGCTTGATTTAATTAATGGTAAACAAAAAAACTGTATCAAACAAGAAAGGAATATAAAAACAGGTCGTATGATAACCAAAATAATTATATTAAAATAGTTAAATAGAACAATCACCTACCCCTTTTCGTCGGGTTAACCCGCAAAACCAAAATTGTTCTACAGAGCAGATTTTTTTTATATTGCCTATAAAGTCCATGGTAACAAATAAAGCGTTCCTTAGGCAATTTATACGGAAATAAATATATTTTTTTAAACATTAAGATTTTCCACTCTAAAATATCCATTTCCGTTTTGTTGGTTACTACGTGTTTGCTTTCCAGCGTCGATATATTTCTTGAGTTCAAACTTGTGAGCATAACGGAAACAGGTAATAATGAATAAATTTTAACACTTTTTACAAAAAATTACCATTGATTGAAATTAAGTATGTATAATGTTTCTAACTCGACGACTTTTTACAAACTGACATTCATAAAGAGCATATTGGATTACTCAATAGTTCAAAATTACGAAAAATGAATAATAAAAATAAATGATGTTGAAGATCAAAGACAAAAAGTTTGCATGTGGAAACCTAGGAGGAAATAAACGGTGGGATGGCGCACCGATACCTAAGTCTAAGCCTGGACCCAGGCCCGGATCTAGGTTTGGGCAAGTGGCGGCACTTGCCCCGACCTAGATCCGGGCCTGCCTAGATCAGCGCCAATGTTTGAGACGGTCGCCAAAATCATAATTATATAATAGTTATTTGCAGTTCAAAAAGAAAGAGCTTTACCAATCTCTTCTGACACAATATAGGCTATGATGGGACGAACTGCTA